ACTCGCAGGAAATTTTTGTAGTGCTGCGCAGTCACAGATGCAGTTCTGTGAGAACACGGGTAAATGTGAGAGCACACGATTTACATTTTACAGTTTCTTGTGCTGCCTCCAATGCAAACTTTTATACAATAAGGCAATTTGCTGCATTTTAGTCCCTGCCACTTCCCTCCTGTGATAACTGTAAATATAAGGATCGCAAGGTGTTTGTACAGGATATAATAGAACCACAGACCGTTTCGAAAGACTTTTTTCGAGTTGCCTTTGTGTTTTAGATGTAAAGAGTTGAATAAAAGACATTGGACTATGATAAAAGGAACGCTTGGATATCTATTCTGGACAAATCCTACTGGAATCCTGGCTTCGACAACAGTAGTTGTTCTTGAACCCGAGTGGCCTTCAAGAATACGGTTTTTTCTCAGATATGGAGCACTTGGTAACAACTGAGTCCATATTAGGTATCTAAAGTTTTGTCACCCCAAAATCAACCAGATATTAGGGCTTATTCTCTTTTACTTAAATCCTGGTTGGAGTTTAAAAACAAAACAAACAAGCCAAAGGCAGCAAGAGAAACTCAATGCATGAAAGAGAACTTTTACTTGCTTACATCACTTCCAATCCAAAAATAAGTATCCTGTTAACACTGATGCTGTTGACCAGTCTGTATTGTTGTTGGCGGCAGTAGTGATTTGTTCTTTTTATTTTTTTAAAGCTAAATATCACTTTTGAGGAACTACATTCGGGATGGGTGACAGGTTCAGAGAGTGCTCTTGAAAGTACCGTTTCTTAAGCACCATTAAAGATGGGTAGAATAGGAAACCCAGCTCTTCAGCTTTGCCAGATCACATACATTTTATATCCCTCTTAGGAGAACCTTATTCTCTTATTTATACAGTATCTAAACACTTAACTTGGATCCAGCAAAGCGTGTGAAGTCTATGCTTAACTTTAAAACACCTGCTTAATCCATCCCTATTTACCAGTCAGGGGCAGATGCAGGGGGTGTAGCAGGGTGGTTGCACCCCTCTTCCAGTGCCACCAGTCCTGGCATGGTGGGAACCCCAGAGTCACTCCTGTCTCACTCCAGCTGTGAGCTGCAGGGAGCAGCTTTGTGGGGTGCCAGGGGCCAGTGTCAGCTGCAGACTGGTTTCCTCTTCTTGCACCTGCTCCCTGCCACTCCTGTTCAGGTCCCCGCACTGACTGAGAGCAGGCGCTTAAAGGCACTTCTTTCAATGCTATCTTCCGGGCAAGCAGGGGATGCTAAGGGGAGAAGATGGGAGCAGGCAGCATAGGAAGGAGGAACCTGTGTGCTGCCATTGCTGTCTCCAGCTGAGCCCAACCCCCTGCACAGCCACTCCCCACACCTCCTGGCTGAAGCGGGGCAGGAGTGGTTCTGCGGCTTCCCCCAATACCCAGATCATGTAGCAGCGTGGGGCACCGGTGTGATGGCAGGGGTTAGAGTCCCTCCCCACATGGTGCCTGGTTCTCTGCCTGGCACCCTGTTATCAGCCTGAGGGCTCCAGCTGTGCTTTGCCCTCATCCCTCCTATGGTCTGAGGAGCAGTGTGCCGTGCTGCACCTCCCTTTACTAAATCCTAGGTCTGCCCATGCAAAGAATATAAAAACATGCTTAAATTCCAGTGAATTTAGTACCTTCCCTTTGGTCTTAAGAGGGCTGGTTTCTGCTATGCACTTAAGTATTTTTTTTTAAATAAGAATGACAATGACACGATGGGTCAATCAGGACTTTCCACTGCGTTTTTACTGGCCCTTATGTAGTTGCAAAAAACGGTAAAGGAAATAAGAAGATCCTTATTTCTTCCTAGCTCTTTTGGAGTCAGTATAAGGCCCAGGAAGAACTACAGCCTCTGTGCTCAGTCTTCACCTACCCAAGAGCCCCGCTTGTGTTTTCTTGCAATGAGGATTAACCCAAACAAAGCACCTATGCTCAGGATAGCCTGTTTTCTTCACATTGGGTTTGTGGCCCTGTTGCTAGTAGAAGTTGTGTGGGCATCTTGAACGAGACCAGGCCATTTCCCCTCCAAGTCGAGCTCTCTAGAAATCCTTCATTAGACCTTTGTGATAAAATTTTGAGGAAGCCACAGATTGCTAAGGTTTGATGCAATGGTCTCTTCAACAGAAAGACAGCTGGTTGCTTTTAGTCATTTGGGATAGGCCAGCATTTACAAATGTTGCCCTCTCTCTGGGACTACTGCTGGACCCAACAGCTTGAGGACAACGACTCTTGTAATAGCGATTCTAGGGCACAACACCCAGCAGGAGAAGACCTCTCAATGTGGCTCCATAGGAAAAGAGCTGCCAAAGAATTACAGGAGCTAAAGGACCATACAGACAATGCAAAAGCACAGGGCCTCTATGCAGATGGTCCTGGCTTTCAGCCAGTCCCCCCAAGATCCTCTGAGCCAATGAAACAATTAGGGGAAAAACATTCAGAAAAACAGGACTTCATGCTGTCTCTCTCACCCATCTGCTCCCACATATTCTGCAGCAGGAGGAGATCTGGCCCGGGGAGCAGCGGAGGAGAGCACTGGATTGAATAAAAAATCAGAACCAGCCAGAAGCTCAATCCGTTTCAAGCCTCTCTTGGGGTTCAGTTTCAAGGGCTTAGCAAAACACACATTCAGAAACAGAAGAAAGCCCCAGCTGTACAGAGTTTATTGATCTGAAACCCAAAGCAAAGAAATACAAATGTATAGATCCCTGGATGCATCAGTTCAAACCAGGTTTTTAATTTCAAATCATGCACCTGATTTAGTAGAGCCCTTTTTGTTTCTATTCCTGTACAGATTGAACATTACAGTCTAATGTTAAATTGAAAAAGAATTGGCTTTAAATTGCTAATTATACTGCAGTATTCTTTAGTAGGGAAAAAAAGAGAGGGGAACATAAAACATAGATGACTCAAGTATTTATGTGCATATGTAAGAACAATTAAGCGGAACTTCTTCAGTGTTATTGCACTGAAGAAACAGCAAAGGCAATGTTGCCAGTTCTCACAATTTTATTGTAAGTCTTGTTAGATCAAGCATTCTTTTTAAGACATCGTTCCTCTAGTTAAAGCGGCTTCATGAAAAATCTTGGCATTCAATTTAAAAAACCCTTGGCTCTCATACTTGTGGAGAAAAACCTGAAGCTGTGATCCAAGAGCACCCCAAAAGTTCAGAAACCGGAGAAGCAAATTTAAAAGAACTTAAAAAGAACTTGTTCCTTGTGAAATCTCTTTGCTTTTAAGGCAATATTGTGATCTGCTTAAATTTGTCTAACAAGAGACTAGCAATACTGTAAGAGGTAATAGTTTATGTAATATAATCTATCAAAGGATGTTACTAAAGCACTTCAGCATGTTAGAAATTGTTCAAAGCACTCACTTTTGAGGTTGAAATCTTCTGTGCTCAGCCTCTGTATGTAAGTAAGGTTTTGAGCAAAAGCCCTTTAATTCAGTTTTTTTCCCCTTAGGATTAAAAACAACAACAACAACAACAATGCACTTTTCCCCATGTAAAAATAATTCTAAGCATGATTTTCCAGACATCACAATAAAAACCAATACACAAGCTGGCAAGAGCAGTGGCTTTGCTTTGTTTGCCAAGAAAAGTAGTTTAAGAGGGATACAATCACCTGAGAACCCCAGGCAAGAAATTTCTTCACATCTACAGGAAATGCGTCGTGTGGTGTGTGCTACCAACTCCCATCCATGCTCAATACAGATATTTGTTCCAGCCCTCAGCTATGGACCCTGACTTTTTATCACAAGCAGCAGTGACTAAGATTCTGGTGGTCCGTGGTTTTGGCTCATACGGTGGCTTAACGCAATGGATAGGTCAAGCCGTTCAAGCACTTGCTTAACAAGTAAACTGCAACAGATTCATTCACTTCTACAGTATAGGGTTGTGTTCCTAGACTAGGGTGGCCAAAGGATGGCACATGTGCCACAAGTACCATGGGCAGCTGCTGTTGGCCTGAGAGCCCCCAGGTAAAGGGAGGCAGGGACTGGAGTGCTATGTGGAGCAGAACGGGGACAGGATGCTGCTGAGTGAGGATGTCACTGCCGAGAGCCAGCTTAACCCTGGCCCTACAGCCACTGCCAAAAATCAGGGCTTTGGATCATTGCTTGTCATACAAAACTGCAGCAGTTGTGGGGTTTAACTTGGCTCTTGGAGGTGACACCTGCTCTTGGAGCAGTGCCCTGCCCCTGCTTTGCTCCATGCGGTCACAGCCAGGGGCCGGAGTTCCCCAGCCTCCCTTTTGGTGCCACAGGGTGCAAACTCTATCAGGTTCACCCCGGGGAGGGTGGGGGGTTGGGAAGGCTAGTGGGGGGAGAGATGCGGATGACGTGGGAAGGGGGCTAACTTGAAGCACACCTGCCAAAACAGTTGGCCACTACTATCCTGGACACAGTATGCATGTGCACGGAGATTCTGCCAACATCACTCCGGCAGAGCAGAACCTAACTCCTCCTGTTAAATTCAGCGTCAAAAAGGCTAACACAGATGGGACGCTACATGAACGTTTCTTGGGTCAGAGGTCTTACAAGCTCCGATAGCGGGATCTGGAGGTGACTTTGCCAATTATCCTTTGACTTTCTTCCTTTCAGAAAAATTAGACTTCTAATGTGAATATGCAAGCCACATCCAGCTGACAATTATTCAAGATGCATTTTTATCAGATGCATAGATATGACTCAAACATATATTTAAAAATATTAAAAAAAAAAATTCTAGCTCTTGCACTACTCCATGGCTGCAAGATCAAGGGCTCAAAGACTGCGTCAATGATTTTAGCCCAACAAAATTCGCTAAAATTCGATTCTACAGATTCTATTCCACCTTTGAAGCATAGAGGTGATTATCTTTGGTAATCTGAAGTCAGGGCAGGGTAGCACCTTAGAAACTAACTGGTTCAGAGAGGCATGAGCTTATATGAAAGCTCTCTGAATCTCTAAAGGCGCCACCCTGTCTTACCTTCTACCTATGAAGTACTTACGTGGGCTCAGTAGGATTGTATTCCACCCTGCTTGAGTCCCTGAAAAACAGTTCATGCCAAAAGTGGGTGGATCATCTTCCTCACTGGGTGCACCTATACATGCAATTAATGTGGAGCAATAAACTCAGGCATAGTTTGTCCCATTCAGCTACTCCCAGGCCCAGAGTCTGCACATGTCCTCAGGACTGCAGCAGTCTGAGCTGGGGTGGAGCAGCCCCAGGCTGGCAGCAGGCTTGGGGGCCAGTCCCAGGAAACATCAGGGCTGGCTGGGGCACAGGAGTGCTAAAGTACAGAGCTGTGCGGCAGGCAGCCCCTGCACGTCCGCACCCTGGGTCACTGTCTACACACGCGTTTCACTTCATGTCATTACTCCACCACAGGATAGTACTGACCCTGCCAGTACTGTCCTACAGTGGAGTTAATTAATTTACTGCACTCAAATGCCAGTGTACATGTAAACAGTGATGCTTTACTGAGGAGCTAATTAGTCACCTCCACAGTAAAGTGCATGTGTAGACACACCCACTGGGTTTTTTTTTGGTTTCTTAAGGGTAAGATGATGTAAAAGTAGCGAGGTAATGGCTTTTCAGGGTGCAGTACAGTTACATTTAGGCACCTAAGTCCACTTAGACACCTAACAAAACCTGACCTGTATTTTCCATTCCTCTTTCTCTTGCAAAACTTTAATATATTGCTCTTTTATAAAAGCATACCACTGGATGCACAGTGCAGCTTGGTTAATGCTGGCGGGTGAAACTTGAAGGTTGGGAATAATTTATGACTTCCAAGGCCACGAACTTTGAGTCTTAATGATGCAATGGTATCAAGTCCTTTGCCCTTTCATGTAGAATTATTGTGGCTTGGACAGAAATTTTACATTACTAATTTGACCTTGGACATTAAGTGTAAGAGCCATAGATTTTGGGGGAAGAAAAGGTAAACGCAGAAAAAACATTAAGTGATGACAATATGAATGCAAAGCAAGGAAACTGCCTTGTTAATGTTCTCCAGGACAAACATGCAATATGTGAATTATTACCCAAAATATGGGCACATTAACAATTTGGCCATTAGGTGAGGAGGTATATTAGCCTAGTACAAAATGGCATACCACTAAGAGCACAACAGACGACTTCCTCAGAACCAGTCTCAGGACCAAATGAGCCACTATGCATAATTCACATATTGGACTGAGGGCACATACTAGAATTACTTGAGAGAAATCCCTAATTTGAGCCCAAGCAAAGGAAAAAGGGAAAAGTACATCTGCAGTAACAGTGAACAAAAGACAATGGAAACCTTCTGTGCAAGTAATGCAATGGAACTTTACAGAAAAAAAAAATCTCACTGTTTTTTTCTTCAGGTTCTCAATTTTGTCGTTCTGTAGAGTTAACCAAATACGAAACCCTAAACACAACCCGTGAGCCCAAAGCCAGCTCCAAAAAAATGCCAATTGAGAAAATGTTACTGAATGACTCTGCTCTGTTTATCATATTAAGATATATATTTTTGATGAAAAAATGCTAGATTGTAAGTGTAACATGATAGAAACAGCAAGCACTGCCAGCAGGTGTGAGAAAGAGAGAATAATTCAGGGATATTGTCATCTATAGGCCAATTTATATTGTCAGACGGCAGGTTCACATTAGTTTCTGATGCCACTGCAATAATGGCATAATGTAACAATTGAGCAGAGGATAGCTACTGGGGATAGCTCTATCCTGCACTATATCTATACTTGTTAAAAGTATTTCAAGATTCATTCTAGGTGAAGCCAGAAGAAGCTAAAGACTAGGATTAGAGGAGGAACAGATAGAAAGAAAATCATATTCATGAAGACTTCTGAATATTTTTGTGATGATGAAGCAAGCACAGCACAACCTTTCGTTGATTCAGTGGGTTCCTGATTAAAATAAACTAACGTACCAATTTGGGGGGCTTTTTTGGCTTAAAAAAAAAATCAAACAAAGAAAAAAAGCTTTTTAACAGTTTCTCCCGGCAGGCGAATTGTGCATCTGTACTTGGATTTACTGCACATGCTGCCTTCTTTAGCAACATGTTAAGTTAGGGTATCAGCATGGTAGGTCACACAGTGGGGGCGACCTTTTACTAATCACTACACATCAGTTACTACTGGCACAGAGCTCATTACTAAGAAACCCTCCAACTAGCTGGCTTTCAAATACGCTTACACTTTGATTTTCTTTCTTCTTTCTTTCTTTTTTCTCCCCTAGACCAAAGATTGTACTTTTACATAAAAGCTTCTGTTGTGTAATTTTGTCAACTAGGGTTCTGAAGTCAAAAAGGCACCCAGTTAATTTGCTGCGATTATAAAAAAGAGACTGCAAACTTGCATCAAGGGTAGGTCTGTAATCTTGGGTTTCATTAAAAAGGTCAGAACATTTTTATTTGCCACCTATTATTAAAATGTTTGAGGGCTGCCATGAATTTGATTTTCCAGATAGAGAAATCTTGCTGAAAATTAAAATGTAATCCTACTGTTGCTTTATTGCTCCTTTTAGTAGACTAGGATACAGCTGCAGGGACTAAGAGCTCTCCTGCAATTTACAATTGGTTACTCGGGACAAATGGCAGGTGACTAATGCAAGACAAACTGTTTTCTCCATCGAGGAACAGTTGGCTTAATTTCAGGTTCTGAAAGATGGAGAAAGTATTTCTGTTGAGTGTGAACCACGAGCTGTCTGCTGCCAATGCATGCAGCACATTTTACAAAGAGCAACCAGGGGAAAAAAAACCCCCTCAACAACATGTGATCATTAGGGATGCAGAATGTAAAAGCCCTAGGAAAATGAAACATAATGGGCTAAAACAAAATGGTTTTTAACTCACCGGCCATTTGCTGAATGCCGCTGAAGGCACCCAAATTACTGGAGGAGGTTGCTTGCTGCAGAAGCTGCAAATTAATAATAATAATAATAACAACAACAACAACGATAGTAATAGCAACAATAATGACAATGACAACAATAATCGAAATGGCATCAAAGTGACAAGTTAAGGTTAAAGCAATGTTAGCTACCAAATAAATTTGCAGTACATATAGTTTCCTTTACATTTATGTGGGCTCTTTTTTCTGCGTATTGTCGGAAAGAACATCCCCAGAGTCAATGCTGTAAATCCATATTAATGTCTAATCTCTATTAAGAAACACAGAGACACTGGGGAAACTCAATAACATTGCTGCTTTAAAACAATTAATCAATTTACTCTTTTTAACAACCAGGTGTTAAATCTATTTAAACCAACATAGCGTGACTAATTATAACCCTCTGTAGTCTGGTAGTTACCATAACTCATCTCTGTCAATCATGGTCCATCCCTTCCTAAACTCTTTAATTCAGTTTTTTCCCCCCTTTTTCATCCTTAGCTAGGATAAATCAAGTACACAGATATTCATTAGTTCAGAGGCAGGTGCTAAGCTTATGTAAGCAATCAAGACCAACAGTATTCATTTTAGTATACTGTTTTTAGACTTCCAGCTAAATGAATATGTATGCAGACTTATAACTATACACTCTTTTCTTTTACACCCCTCCATACATTTATACTTGCACACAATATGTACGTATACATGGGTTCCTATGTGTACATGAGCTTTAAGCATACTGAAGCATGTCTAAACATCTATGAACTTCCCAGTTGTCAGTATGCTACACAATAAGACCGGTCACAAACTCCACAGCAAAAAAAAAGGCTGAGAGCCCCCAGCACTTAAAACCATACAGAAATTTCTGAGAGCAGCACAGGACTTAAGACATAGTTGGCTGTTCAGATTTCTCCATCAGAGGGCAGTCATACCAAAGTAGCCAACTCATTTGTGCCTCCTAGCTTGGAAAGGGTCAAAGAAAACGTCATTTCAAAACGTGAGAAACTAATTGCTACCCTAAATCAAATCAACCTTCTTTAAAGTAATATGTACCCCACACAATTAATAATTACAAAAGAACATTCAATGTATAGCGTATAACTCTGAAAGTGGCAGCTATTTTCAAATCTGTTAAAAGATTAACTCGAACTGGGGCAGGGCATGAAATGATAAATCAGAGTAGAAATAAACATTGTGGGTTCAGAAGGCTATCCATTAATAAGTTTGTCAAGTGCCTACTTGTGTTCTGTAAGGTACCAATTTTATTTTGAAATAAAAAAGAAGGAACGTTTAATGTATTCTAGCTATAAAAAGCAGAATTTAATGTTCTAAAATATAACGGAAATCCAGGGGAACAATGGATGCTGCATTTCCCAGTGTAAGTTGAATTTCAAACTTCACACTGCACGGCATAAAAATATCTGGGAACTTTCATTCTAATTTGTTGTTGCTGTTGTGAGATTTTTTTTACATAGCGTTGTAAATTTACAGCTACTTTACACAGTGAGACATATTCTCTGCCCTGGAGGACTTAACGTTATAATGTGAGTTTAATGACTACGCGTTTCAACCATCTTAAACCAAACACATTTCACAAACTTACAGCTAGATACTGTGGTGTGAGTCCTCCAAGGCCTGTGAGGTTCCCCCAGGTGGCAGTGTTGAGCTGTTGCATCTGTTGTGCCAACTGTTGTTGTAAACGTCTCTGCTCTTTATCCTTTTGGGTATCGGCAAACTTCACCACTATTGGCGAAGAGCAGCCCTGTGATTGGACAGATTGGGAAACAAAGACATTACGTCACACACATTTACACAGTTCTTGAGCATATTTTTAGCTCTTTGAATCCATTTTGAAGTGATCGGACATTATATCTTGAACACTTCTTATTTTTTATGTGTGTCAGACAGCAAAGATTAAGATTTCAACTTCTTTGGAAATGTGACAGTTGAAAAATTATTCGTTTCTTATCTCTTTTTATAAAACCCTTTCCCCCAGACTGTCTTGTACCTTTAACTATCTAATACCCCCAGAGGCACCAGACCTTATCAATGCTCTTTAATTAAGCTTCACGGTTCACATGCCTAAAAAAATGGACTTGTCTTTCTGTTTTCTGTCTGTTTCCAAGCAATAGCCAAAGACATCAAGAGGATATAAACAGTGGCACATGATTGAAAACAGATCTAATTCATTGTTTTTAGATGGAAACCTCTTAAGATGTTTTAATTTAAAGGACAAGGTAGAAACGTAGCAGTTCCACTTTACTTCTGGAAAATTAATTGGAAGATTTGAAGATGTGTTGAAGCCATCCATCTCTCTCAGGGATTTATACTGCATTGCTACTGTGGCAGTGCCTGTGTCCCGTACAAGTGAAATCCCCCATGTGCTCTCGGGCTCATTTTTCTTCTAACCCGCAATGCGAGCACCATTAGAAGAGCAAAGGACCACTTGGAGCCAATGAACATAGCAGGAATTTAGCCTCAGCTCACAATGTATAATGGGGGTCTATACTTAACCTAACTCTTTCAATGGCTGCTCTAAAACCCTGTGAGCTTCTTCAGAAAAGTTCTCCATTCTCTATTTCTACAAAGAGTAGCTGTATACTTTTTCTCTGAAGATCCTCACAATAGGACAATAAGAACATTCACAACCAAGAGATAAAATGATGAAATAAGCTATAGCTATTTCATGGCAGGAAGACCTCCCATCAATACCATGCCTTCAGAATTACCATTTTAGAAAATGATCACTTGAGATTTATTATTCCACCCCCAGTCACTTGCCTGTATTTTTCATTGTAAAAATGTCTTTCAATTTTTCAGAGACTAAAACGGGAGATATACCACTCTAGCAATTGAATAAAGATTATGGAGGAGTCAGCTTGGTACACAATTACCTCTCTTCAGTGATTTTTTTTATACCATTAAAACAAGCTCTTTTTTGGGGGGGAAAATATGGAGGTATTATTCCAGCATAGTTAATAAAAAAAGGACAGAGCAGATTATATTTTATTTTTCATTGGAGGGATTGGGCTAAATGCAATGTTGGGTTACAAAACAGACATGAGACTCAAATCTATTTCAAAGGGAATAGAAATGAATTTGAAAAGGAAGAATATTATATGGCTGTTCTAGTACTCAGTTCAGCCACTTTGAACTCATCATAACAGCTGACATTATATCTGTAAATGTTTAAATGTCAGTAAATTGCATAAAAAAACAATACCCCTGCAATTTAGGAATACATCATTCATTTTTTTTCACTGTCCACTCTATATTTCATCACTTCATCATTATCAAAAGAGCAAACACACTGAAGATCGAAATGACAAGTAGAAACGTGTAATGTTACATGTAGAAACATATGAGAAAAATCTTGCTGTTGTTGCATCACGTTTATTTTGTGATAGCTAAGTCCTGTTTCCTACTAACACAGCATGTGAATTGTTTGTGTTTAAATATAGAAATGAAGTAGAAAAGCAGAAAATTGAACAAATGATTACTGCTTTAAAAATGAGCTGCCTGAACCTGAATAGACAGTCAAATGCAAAGAGCAACAGGAAAATTCATTATTTTTATGACACACTTGTTCTTCTGAACATTAGCACTCACATCTTTTTGAGCTCTTAGCTCAGTTTGAAAATACATCTTAGGCAATGATGTGTGCCAAAGAACCCCAAAAAAATGAAATTGGAAAAAATAACTTCAGTCATTCAATTGAAACTTGATTACATAATATATAAACTTCTGTTTTAAAAGTCATTTTTTTTTTGCATTAAACATGAAATCAGAGTGCCCAGGGGCATTATTGTTCTGGCTGAGGGTCCAGATTTAATATTAGCTATCAAGAGTCAGCCCTTTGCCATAATAACATTGACATTAATAACTCAGATGCAAGGAATGCTTCTGAACGGTGACTTAACTGCCTTCCCTCTTTCTTTCTACCTGGACAGGGCATGCCCTCTGCATGAGCGGGGTTGGGGGATTTCCTACCTTCGTATTCTATGGCTGTCTTCTTTCTCCACCCAATTTAATGTCATTATCGCCCCTTCACAACAGGAAGTGCTTCCAGGGCACCTTTACTTCTGCTGGCCAGGTGGTATGTGCAGACTCCTTTGATACCATAAAACACTGTGCAGAAAGGGATACACTCCCCCAAAGTAGCAAGTACATCGGCTGTGCTGTAGACCTGAGCCCAACTGGCATGAAGGTTAAGTTTCAAGATCCAGCCTATTCTGAACCATCATACTAGTTGGGAGATGCTGTTTGTATCCTATGTAAGGCACAGATTCCCCAGCCTTTCAGGCTGCTGATTAGTACTTTGCTCGGAAAGTTATGCCCATAGGGCCAGTGTGAAACCCTTACTCGGTGGAGCTAGTGGATTCCCTGTTGGAATATGGTGCTATTCAGCATGAGCAGTATGTCAAAACGCAGCTTTGTTTGAAGTAAGATACTATACACAGCATAAGAATGGGAGAATCTGACCTTTAGGTATTATTTTTAAAAATCCTCTGGAGGTGAGGGTGATTCAGCTGAAACTCATTACTCTAGACCAAAAATATATGAGAACACATGGAAAAAATATACGTAAGAACACAGCATTGTTAAAACTACTTTCCTTTTACTTGGAACAAAACGTAGCAAACATATACTTGGACCCATCTCACTGGGCAGTGTGTGGCCAACAAATTTAAAACAGCATTATGTCAGGGAACAACAATGGCACTTTTAAATCCATATATACAGTCAGATTGCATAGTAAAATATATTGTGCAATGTCAGCTTCCTAAGTACAGCTTTCTCTGTGGCACATTCTCAGCTAAGATTGCATATTCAGGGCCTAAAAAAATGCATTGCACTGAAAAGAAAAAACATCAATTATAAAATAATCTTAACCAAAGTTAAATGTGATGTTTGGAAAGACAATCACTTTGCAATGCCAATATCATTACTTGTAGAATACAAAAAACAGTTAGTGACACTAGCATGCAATTTTTTTTTCTCTCTCTCTCTTTTCCCTTTTGCTCATTACACAAAGCGGCTCAACGACATGACGCAATAATGATTGTTTAGTGCCCAGCATGCTTTGGGAGACTACAGCATTGCAAAGAAAAATTACTCAAGAAAAAATTGAAAGGTCCTTGTTGGAAAAAAAAAAAAAAAAAAAAAAGAAACAAGTGCACATAACATCAATGCCACCTCCGAGAAAATCATCAATACACAGATACAGTATACATAATACAGTATAACATGCACTCTCAAATGATATACTAGAAGATCCAGAATAAGTAAAGGCTTAGTACTCTTGCGAGGTTGTTTTGTGCAAAATTCTGAAAGACCATGACAAAAATCACAGACTAAAAATGTTGAGGCCACCAGATAAGCTGGGGCATCTGATAACCACCCCAGTGAACTGAACTGATGATGCAGCTTTATTCTTCTTCGTCAAGTAAATTTAAAGGTTTGGGTTCTCATCATTAAAAGTCTGATGTCAGGGAGGCAGTTTTTAGAGGAATTAAAGATCGCTGCTTGTACAGAGTCCTGCCGTGGTAATGTATTGCAGCAAGCCCAACTCTTCACTATTCTCCAACATAATTAGCATTTTTATTGGCTACATGAAGTAGGAGAAATTATATTAACTTAAAAAGAGATTCCATATGCAAAAAACCACATGCACTAGTAATTCAGCATGGCCAGGTTAAATCTCTCTTGAGTCTTCTCCAAGAGCAGTGCAAATCAAAATGTCTTAAAATTCGTATAAAAATAAAGCATTTCTTTTTTGTTTTTATAACTTAGAATTTAGTCGCCAAACACTTTTTAGGAACGACGGAAGAGTGTTTTTTGAACTGCTAAAGAGAGACTATTTTCTTTTCTCCTGGAAGCCATTGGAAGCACTGTGCAAGTAACACTTGGGTACAACACAGAGATCTTTTTTTTTTTTCTCCTTGTGTTTTCAGATCATTAAGAAAAAAATCGTTTCGCCGAGAGCGGCCCAGCGAGTTTGTTCAAATTTAAATCTGTGATTGTCATGTGTCCGATCTTCTCCAGGAGAGCATGGCTTTACCATTCGCAATCATTTGCACAAAGAAAACAAAGAAAGGGCAGATGATACAGTACTGTACCTCCATAGTCTGAGACTGATGCATGGCTTTGATTGCATTCTGTGCCATTGCCCTTGTAGAAAATGTGACAAACGCACAGCCTGTGGGAACAAGGGGACAGGGAGCAGGAAAGACAAAAAACAACAAGACAAAAGGGTTGGACGCTTGTTAAACCAACACAGTCTACGAGAACGGCCACAAGACGACACTGTTCTCAGTAGTACATAAAAATAAACAACTTCTCTAGTTTATTTATTGACAGTGCTGACTTGCTAATCTGACCACTGATGAAAGGGAAAAAAATAGGCAGTAACCGAGGAGAAAGGATTTTTGTTTTGTTTTGCTTTGTTTTTAGCCACAGGGTTGGAAATGAGTATGACTTTTTGTGTGTGTCAAGTTTGGATTGTATACCGTCAGTTCATTCCAGACCATGCATTAGTCATTACTTGCTTTTTCTTCTCCCTTTTAATTGTCGATTTAAAAGAAATAGCTGGGACTCCTAGCAAAACAGGACAGAATTTAAAGACCTTGTAATGATGCGGTACATTTTTCTGGACATGGCATGAACAGCTATACAAATAAGAATAGGGAAATGTGTACAATATGTTTTGAAATTAAGTATCAAAGAACCCAGAGGGAAATTCAATAATGAAGGTATAACTTAAATGTTTTAAAAAATTATTTTATTTCAAATGATCTTCATGATTTTTAGCTTTGAAAGTTCTGCGTGCACGTGATGTAAGAAAACTGTGCCCAAGTCTAAGGATGAGAGAGCTGTGTGTGCAAGCAATTGAGAAACCATTCCCCCCACCCCACCCCTTCTTTTAAACAGTGCCTGGGCTGTTTTTTTTCCCCTCCTCTTGACTGCTGCTCACACCAATACTGGGCACTGCATAGGTCAACCTGAGTATTTCATGGCTCACTGCCCTTTCAACTAATAAAAACACTGCCTTCTAAAATTTACATTTGATTCTTCATGTACCCCTGGGCATCTTAAAGAAAAAGACTGTGAAATTAATGCAGATTCAGGCTGATTTTGTAATAATACCACGGCACACTAAAAGCTTAGCTAAAGCAACACAGACTTATTTCACTTGTGATCTCTAATGACTTTAAAAGTGCATTGATTTTCAACTCCCTTAGCCTTGCACAGTTTGAACTTAGGTTTCAGAGAATAATTTAGTGTTCCACTCAATTTCCTCAAAACATTATTATTATTACTACTTAAAAGATTTCCAAATGAAGCAAATCTAAGCACTGAGAGGCTGAAGCATATTGTCATTTTAAACCTAATGCATGAAAGCTACGTTCTGGCATCAAAAATACAATATCTTTGCCCCTGTGGCCAATGGGCAAAATAAACCATTTTGCAATCCAACAAGCAACAGCTTGTTTGGTTTATGTAAATCAATTTGTGAGGCATAAAACATCTTTTTTTTTTTCTTTTGCTCCATGTGTACCTGGTAAGATTATCAAGTCAAGACTGTATTAACATTTTAATCAAACAACAGTAAGAGAAAGCAATGCCTGATCATTACCCAAAAGCACTACATCTAATCATGAAAATAAAGTCAATGCATTTTTTGCATCATGCGGTAATTTTTTTTCCTCTTAAATATAAAAGCCCTTGATACAAGGGAGCCTAATCTATTAGACATCATTGATAGATCAGCTTTGTAAAATTTAAAGTCAAAATTCTTTATGCAGACTTTTACAATGGTATGCTATTTCATATATATTTTTTTGCAGATAACATAACAATGGATAATGCTTTACTGTTTAGGCATACTACATATGTTGCTACTATTGTTATCCAGAAACAATTTGTTGTCAAAGAAAATAATTTAACAAACAGCTTTCTATACAGCATTCTAGACAAAATGTGTAGTAGAAGGGTAAATAAACTACAGTACCTCTGCTAGATTCCATATTGATGCTGTGCACTAAAATTAAAGAGGCCCAAATTTACCATCAGTCTCAAAGTAATCTCTCTTAAAAACATCACTCTTATTAATATTAACAGAGGAGATAGCACTATTTCTTATCTTGGAACTTCAATAGGGGAAGAGCACAAACTAATAGAGATATAGTAAAGAAAAGAAAAAAAAACACATATAGAGCCCTGAATAATATTGCTTTTAAGGGTCAAAGAACCATTTCATTCACTTCCTTTACTCTTATTATCCAGGGGCATGTACCATAGTGACAATTACCAAATGGAGGTTAAGCATGCATAAGAAGCATGTAAGATGTCAACAAGAATCAACAAGACACAGTTTATGCATTTATCACAATTTCTACGCAGCAGTACTGCTCTAAGTAACTTACTGAGAGATGTTGCAATTAGCAGGTCTCAGAAGCAACGTGAAGCAGCCAGACAATAAAGCTATGTTCCTAGCCACATTATGCAGGCTCTTTCCCTCCTTCTCTCAAGCTCTTGCCATTTCTCAACCACAAAGCATAGTTGTTGGGGCTTTCTCCGTCCAATCTGATGGTCAAGCCTCGCCTCTCTTCACCCCCGACCCAAATTCATTTGAATAGCCTTTAATTGCTTAGTTCTGGAGTGAAAAGATTTTTAGACTAGTCCTGTGTAAAGTGCCATATACTGAGCTACTAGCAGAAAGGCAACTCATTGTCTATAAAACAGGAACAGATGATGAATGGATTGGAGCTCTTTGAATGTTGAGCGTTTTTAAAATGGAAGATTCTATGCAGAGGACCAGAGGCTAGGTTAGGTGTATAAATTACCCACCGCTCACAGCCAATTTCCTTACTGCTAGCCATTGGCCACTTGTGCACGTGAATACCTAATTTGCACAAACAGCTGTGGGACTGTAGGTACCCTGGAATCATTTGAAACTCTGACTTTTAAAGTGATATCAGGAAGCTTCTGAGATAGCAGCACACTAAGATAAATAGGCAAATTCAGCATGGTTCCTGAGCTGTGTTTCAGGATAAAACGTAACCAGCCTGACTCGTTCTGGAGTGATCTACTTTTAGTAGTATACCCCCTCCCCCCCCCAGAATGGAAGATCTGTCCGACTATGACATGTTGGAGATGAAGCAAAGAAACACTGGTGAACCCGATCTGGCCCAGAGACATTGCAACATCCCTCTGGCTCTTGCTAGAACAGTAGGACTTGGGTATTTTGAGTAAAGCAGAGGGGAACACCTTCCTTTTACACAGTGTATAATCAACCCAGAGAACCTGTGACAACAGGCAGTCATTTGAGATCCATACAGATAGCTTTCTGACCATTAAAAATATCTGTAACTGGGCATGTTAAAGTAAGATTAATCAGATCTCATGCTTCAGGGTGTAAGGTGTAGACAACAAGGATGCCTATGCCCTCTCAGCTCATCATATAAGATAGTGTATGCTTTTCTAAGATAAAGGGCACCTTTCCTCTGAAGCAGGAGCTATTGGACGTTACCGAAGGCACCACATTGACCCTCATTAACCAAGTGTCTGATCTGCCATGGTCAGTGCCATGCTCCTTAGCTTGCTGCCTCAGCAATTCTCTTTCTAGGCAAGAGCTATAGAAGAACTCAGTCTGGGGGAAAATATAGGAAGGATATGAAGACAACCGCTTTGTAGCGAAGACAGCGTGGAAATTACTTCCCTTAAATCACCAGATATCTAAAAACAAAAATCAATTTGTGAATATGACCAACCTGTAATTCACCTTGCAATTATTTATCAGCTCTACTTTCAAAATGTCATGGAACACTAATAGAAATGAAAAGGGGTGAATTTCACTTATTTCTCTACGGCTGCCTTCTAACCTGATAGAACAGATAAATGATTGACTGGAGAAAGGTTTCTCAAAGTAATTTCCTCCTACAGACAGAATCTGAGGAAGGCACGTAGCCCTGCCACAAAGCAGATTTTGGAACACATCTATTACACTTGTCATGTCAATTGAAAGGATATCTAAACTTCGATGTTTTGTCTTTTCTCCAAATTGCAAGAGAATTTGAAAGAACTCGTGAATCCATTATAAATGCCTCTCCAACAAAGCACCTCCCTGAAAACCAGGAACTGCTTTGTCAGGGTGGAAATTTCATGTTGTGCTTGTGTTGGCCTAATTTGCTTCCACTGAAGTCAAGCTTTCAGTCACTGGCCACGTTGGACATGCCCATTCCAGCAATACTAGTGAAGTACAGCCTAAGAACATCTGCATGGCACTAATACAACTCACGAATTGTATATCAAGCAGCATACCTTCAAACATGGGTGCAGGTTTGGGAATCTGATTTCATATTTGGCACATAAAACAAACCAGCCTGTCTTCAGAGGCTAGGGGCAGACATTCAAAAAGCCGGAGCCTGAATTGATTCAACCTTTGCAGGTTAGTCTAACTCGCCTAGGTTGAACTGATTTGAAACAGAACAGACGTGCAAGCACATGTCTGCAGTTGCTCAGTCCAGAAGCCAGGGGTGCTAGAGCAGGGAAGCTGTGCTGTGGGGGTATGGCTAGAGAGGGGTTTAATTTTCCCCTCGCTGTCCCACTGGCAGGCACCCGAGCTGGGTCTGCCAGGTGCTCCCCCCTTGCTGCAGCTGCAATGGGGCACCATGGCCCCTGAGGCAGAGGGGGGCATGGGGGAGGGGAGGTTAGTCTCCCCTCTACCCCACTGGCAGCCAGGTCTGCCCACTGTTGCCACTGCACTCGCTCCTTGCAGGGGAATAAGCCCCCTGCTGTACCCTCCATCAGATGCCAGAGGGAAGGGAAATAACCCCTGTCCCTGCCCCGCTAAGGGGCCCTTCGGGCCGGCATCTGGCCATGCCCACACCCAGCCACTGCTGCAGGAGGAGGGAGGACTGTTGGTGGGGGCAGCAGACTCTGTCATAATGTTGGGGAGTGCGAGTCCCTTCCGGGGGGGGGTGGACCCCAATGGGAAGTGGGCAGAGCTGCGGTGGGTTGTGCAGGACAGCCTCAGGGTCCAGGGCCTGCAGTAGCTTTCCTTGCTATACAACGTGGCCCCCCACCGGGAAGAGGCTCATGCTTGGCAAAACTGTCCCCTTGCTGTTCCAGCGGCCAGGCGGAGGCATGGCCAGACGTTATCGCCTAGGCTGATCTGGCCCGTGGAGGGGCTTTGTTGCATCCCCAGTAGGTCCCCCAGTCCTGCCTGGCTGAGGCACCCCCCATGGGCAGACAGCTGGGCTGGGTCTGCTCCGCAGTGGGACTGCCTTTCTAGGCAGCCCAGCCACAGTAGCTCCTTTGCTGCTGCCACTGGCCCAAGCCCCACAGTACAGGCAGGGACCAGCGTGCACAGTCCTGACCCCGTGCACCCTGTGCTGGCTCCATGATTGCCTGCCCAGGCTGAGCAGTGGCAGTACGGTAGAGAAACTGCTGCCCAGCGTGGGGGAAAAAGTGGGAAGCTGCTGCGGGCTCCAGTGGTGGCAGTGGCAGCATTGGGGGGCAGGCTCCAGACCCTGGTGCTGCCACACGCAGCCTGCTGCAGTTCTGCCTGCCCTACAGTGGGGCCCCCTGCTGGGAAGGGGCTTGCACTCCCTCACATTATCATAGGGGCTGCTGTCCCCACCCAGGGCCCTGTCCCTTCCACTGCATTTTTTTTCTTAATGGGGCAATAAACACAGAGATAGGGGTGATAAGCACTGTTATCAGTCTACCCGCCCCACCCCCCGGCTTGCTTGCCTGTCAGGTTGCTGCAGACAGTATACAGAAGCAGGGAGGGAGAGTGAAAAACTCCGTGTCATCAACAGATGCATGCGCTGCACGCACCCCCCACCCCCCCCACTTGCCTCAGAGTGCTAGCCCAGGGCTGCAGACTGGCAACACTCCCTCCCCTTGAGCAGCAAGCAGGGAAAAGCCTGTGATGGTGCAGACAGGGTGGGGGTTTACACCTCTCCCTAATCAGAGCCTCCTGCTGGGGCCTGGCTGAGCCCCCCTCATCTCAGCACTGGAAGGGAAATCAGGGCTGCTCTAGCACCCGCCAGCTTCTAGCCTGAGCCACTGCAGGCATGTGCCTTCATTTCATCAGGCCAGAGAGGCTGTCTGTATGGCTGGAAACTGATTCATCCTAGCCAGGTTAGACTAACCTGCAAAGGTTGAATCAATTCAGGCTCAGGCTTTTTGAATCTCTCGCCCTAGCCTGAATGTCTGTTCTGTTACAGGTTTCAACCAGTTTCTGATCACTTAAACTGTTTTATGTGTAATGTCTATCTCTAGCCAGCAATGCTGAGAAGCTACAGCTCCTGGCTGAGGCAATGGCAGTTGCAAGCATTTCAGACATCTAAAAATCCAGCCGTTTTTACCTAGGTAGCTAAATATGGAATTTGGTCCCTAATGTTGAGAACGGAAGCTTAAAATAAATCTGGCCTCAACGGATTTGAACATCAAATAAAAGATGTATCTGAATTTCAAATAAATAAACATAGGATTGGAGATTTTTAAAGCTAATTGTGCTTTAAATACACACACACAATTAGCTTTAAAATTCTACTATTTCAGGACATAAGAAATAACAAGGATTATTTTATTTTTGCATATTTAATTTATATAAAATATATTCTCACCCCATCTTCCATGTTCTGAAATTGTTAATTTTTCTAAAGCTAATTTCACACATGCACGTGTGCACAGACCCACACACTTTTAAATACAAAAACAAGAATTTCAGGACGTAGAATGAATGAGGATGAGCTTTTTATTTGTGTGTTTTATTTTATTATAAATATAATACATATAAATATAAATAAATTTACATGTATTATATTTATAATAAATACAATATACACATAAGAGCTCATCCTCATTCTTTTTCTATATTCTGATATCGTCAATATTTTAAATACAAATGATATATATAAAATCAGTTTTAAAAAGAAAATAACAATTTCAAGACACTGAAAAGCTCATTGTCATTCTTTCTTTTATGTCATCTCAGCCACTGAGGTGCTCAGTTCTCATTAAAAATAT